TAAAAGTTAGAATGCAATTTCGTCAAATATCACGTCATAAGAAACTAAAAAATCGTTTGTTCTAGCACTTTGAAAATTTCATCAGTGTGGTAGGTAGTGAAATAGGAGTTTAATTGAAGATAAAACCCGGAACGGATTCGGAACGGGATCTACATAACCAAACTTTATTTATACAAAATCTTAACTACTGAACCTAGGAACATGTAATTTAGAATTTTTGGGTGTATCAAGTACATCGTGGTGGCCTGGAGGTTAAGGAGCCCGCTTCTCATGCATGAGGGTGTGGGTTCGAAACCTGGCAAATACCAATGTGACTTTTTCCGAGTTATATGTACTTTCTATGATTATTTAGACACCACTGACATACGGTGAAGGTAAACATCGTGAGGAAACCTGGACTTATAATTTCTAATTGTAAGTTTGTAATCGCCAACCCGCATTGAACAAGCGTGGTGATTAATGCTCAAACCTTCTCCGTGTGAGAAGAGGCCTTTGCTCAGCAGTGGGCACTTATAGGCTGATGATGATGATGATGATGGGTGTATCAAGTTACGAAATAGTTCACTTTCGAAGTATAAATTCCTTTTAACGAATCCTCTGAATCACTGCCACTGCCGTCAGTGGCCGCGCCGTCGCGCACATTCGCCGAAGTGCGGCGCGGCGCTGTCGTGTGGTGGGGGAGCGCACGAATTTAACTACGTCTACCCGAACGGCAGACACGTGAGGGCACACGTCGTTGTCGGACGCATGCGATAAGAAAAGAAAAGAAGATAAGAGAAGAAATTTGCGCTTTAGAGAATTAAATTTTTCGATCCAGTAAAATTATTTTATTGTACCGAGCGGCAAGCAGAAAGGAGACGTACATTTACAATGAATACGTGGGAGGCATTTGCCGATGCTGCTTTTGATTATAATCCGTTACTTGATTACTTTGATCATCGTTTAGTCCTCATAGATAGAATGGCCAATAAATGCAGACACTGTGAGGCACTCAAGTGGAAGGAAGAGACCCCAGGTATTGCTGTTCTGGAGGCAAAGTATCAGTACCAACGCTTGGTGACCCTAAGGAGCCACTCAAATCCTTACTTCTATATGACAGCAATGAAGGCGATTTTTAAACAGAATAAGAAACAACACAATTCTTGCTTTCAAATGACATCATTTGGTGTCGGTAATGAGGTCATCATGCCTGGATTTTCACCCACATTTACGGTACAAGGGCAAGTTTATAGGATTGGTTCTTTGCTTCCCATAAACAATGATCAACCAAAATTTCTACAGATTTATTTTCTGGGCTCAGAATACAGAACAAACCTGGGAGACGAAAACAGCAAGGTTGAACGCAGATGTCAAAATATTAAAGGCATTGAGAGGGACATTGTTTTAAAAATTCAAAGAATGTTGCACGAACATAATTACCTCATTAACACCTTCAAAACAGCCTTAGAAAGAATGCCAGGGGAAAATTACAAATAAGTAATACACGCAGATCGTACGCCAAGCGGAGAACATGAAAGTCGTAATAATGCACCCTCAATAAACGAAGTTGCTGTAAAAAAATAAATGTAGAAACTTGCGGTTCCGTACGTGCAATCAAATACATCTGCAAATATATTAATAAAGGCAGCGATCAAGCTATTCTTTATTTCTGAAGCTCAGAGTCCTCAAACCCAGTAGACGAAGTACAAACGTTTCAGTCTGGTCATAACATGAGGAATAGAGAATGGCTACGTGAAAGGGCAATATTAGCACGGACCAATGAATTCGTCGGACAGATCAATGAATGAATGATGTCGCATGTGCAAGGCGATGTTGTTTAATATTTGTCACTAGATATTGTCATGGACATGACAAGGACAAGTGACGTCTTATCCTACCGAGTTTCTAAACTCTTTAGAGCTTTCAGGAGTGCCGTCTCATAAGCTAAGACCAAAAGTTGGGGTTCCAGTTTTATTAATGAGAAATCTCGAAGCACCGAGACTATGCAACGGGACTCGATTGCAAATTACGCAGCTGGGATGCAATATTATTAGAGCAATTATAATGACAGGTAAAGCTAAAGATGAAGAAGTTTTGATTCCACGCATACCCATGATCCCTACAGATTTACCGTTTCAATTTAAAAGAATCCAGTTTCCCCTCAAACCAGCCTTCGCAACGATAACAAACAAAGCGCAGGGGCAAACACTCAAAGTGGCAGGTGTCTATTTAGAGAAAAGCTGTATTTCGCATGGTCAACTGTACGTGGCTTGCTCGCGAGTGTCGAGTCCAAACAATCTCCACATTTTAACAAATGATAACACAACAACAAACGTTGAGGCTGGCCCCTGTAAGAGAACTTAGACATAAGGGACCAGGATCGAAAAAAAAACTATTTGACGCGGGCGAAGCCGCGGGCGGAAGCTAGTTATATGTATAAATATAAAAGAGTTGAGTAAACAGACTCGTTCGAGAGTAAATTCCTACTAAGTTAAATTAAGAAATAATAAAGGTGCTAAATTAATCTCGCTAGAGGCCGTACAACTACCGTTGATCGGTTAAATAACAATAACAAGTAATCCAGCAGCCGGTCGATATAATCCAAGTGATCTTCTAAGCAAAAATAATAATTAAATTAAGGCATTAGAAATTCGCTGCGAATCATCTCGCGAATAAAGACTAAATATATTTTTTATTCAAAATCAAAAACATCACCTCTTTTAATTAACAATTATGTAGACGACACATGATAATGGGTACTTAAAGAGACCTATCTGGCACATGATTATATTATTTTATTACCAGATACATAATAATAGTTACTTAAATAAATTTTCACTAGGCCAAACAAAAAGCAGATTATAAAATTTCAGAGAACAAACATCTATAACAAAATAATTATGTATTTTTAAATCTGGAACAGTCAGTTTTCCCATTCTGACCTGCGTGTGACGGACCCTACTACCTTTATATAAAAAATAAATAAAAGAAGAACGTAAAGTTATGAAATGATAAGTGAAATTTTGTTGTCGACTTGAAAATTTGTCATGCAATATTTAAGAAACACGATTAATTATTAAACCTCGGCGAATTCTCTAGAATCTTAACATGGACGCCTAAGAAATGGCATTTTGAAAATGACCTTTATATTAAATTATATTTCCATTCCATTTGATTTATTAAAATTTATGAAACGAATTTCATAAATTTTCCCTCCATTTATTTGCATATACTTTACGCTTGTATATTAAAAACAAAGAATCATAAATTACGTAAAAAAGCAATCTGATTCCAAATAGGTACCTATGGAAGATAGAAAATAATGGCCACAGAGTCAAAAGATCGTGTCTATGGAATAAATAACGCTAAAACATTGAGTTCGTTGAAATAAAGCTTGGATTACTAAGTACACACTTAGATAGCTACAATTTTCATTAGAATTTCAAAACCTTGGTAGGATTTCATGAACACATAAATGTGTAGGCATATAATTACCCATTATTTCACAAATTATACCTACACCAATGAAAGTAAGTACTTATATTTTTTATGGCTTGTTTTATTTTCACAATAACACTAGACACCATTACATAGCCCCGGTATGTTATGAAATTAATCAGAATACTACCATTATATTTTTTTATACAATATCTATCATATATATTTTTATATATATATCTATCTAATATCTATCTTATATAATATCTATCATGGCTTTTGAGTCAAATTAATCTGAATAATTAAACTACGCGTATGCTAGGCCAGTGTATGGTTGTGTTGCGGATTTGATTCTTGTGCTGTAAAAAAATTGCTAATGAATTTTTCTAATTTAATCACCATTCCACCAGTCCTTGCTCTAACGGTAGCAGGCATCTCACTTTTTTTTTTCAGTTGGAAAATCATCAAATTACGCAGTGAGACTCTTTCTGATTCCAAACCACCCGTTCCTTCTCCTAGTCCGGCCAGGGCCAGGGTCACGTTACATTACTATGCTTGTACCCCCTACCTTCTCCTGAGTAAGAGTACATTAAACTTAAACCATCGGGCGTCGATCGAATTGGTCATGCAATGGTGTATATGTGGTAGTTGTTATAGTTAAAACAACTTAATAAAACTGACCAGATGGTTAGAACCTTGAAAAAGGTTCGGGGGATGCCTTAAGTAGAATCTGGTGAAAACTCAGTGCTGAAAAACACGGGTTGTTTAAAGGAAAAATGCTAACAATATTCCTTAGTAATATCCTTTTAGTTACCTTATCTACACGTCTGTCCACCATTCGAAATATATTATGTAGCCAATAGTAGGTACCGGTGTAAGGATGGAAATAAAAGAATAAGTAAGATATGCCAACCTACAGTGACTTAGCAACTACGAGTAAGGACTTGGGTAATTAGGTGCAAAGTTATCTACTGTAACTAACTATCAACAATTCAACAATCCTACATAACTTTAACTGAACTGAATCGCAGTGTACCTACCTACAATAAAACTTGATTATCTTTAGGATAGATAGGTTCATACTCTTCGTTCAAAAATGGAGTAAGGTTTTCCAGTCATAGGTAGAGCTGAAGATTTTTAACACGCTTTTATTTTGATCGACCTATAACGAACTATGTTAGGTATAAACTCGTACGTCGTAGTGGCCTAGAGGTTAAGCCGCTCCTCGAGGATGAGAGACCTGGCTAAAACTCGAAAAAAGTCGTATTGGTAATTTAATTGATATCCATCTTTTAAATGTGACAGAACTGAACAGGATAATGTCTATTCTAGTTGTTTACAAGCTAATTATACTAGAAAATAAGGTCTGAATAGAAGAAAATTCATTGAAAAGAATAAGTAAGTATATAATTTATGATATAAACGTATCACGCACGTAGCAAGATACAATTTACAAAAATCATCGTGTCGTCATCATAATAGTTTCAAAGTCCAGAAATGAGATAAACTTTACAGTCCAGCAATTAAATGATTAGCCTGCTATAATGAATCAGAATAATATTTTACTTAATGCTAGATAGCGTAGATAATAAACTATTGTAATTGAAGATAATACAGATAACGTAACGTGCAGTACCAACGGAGTTCGTGTCTGGACGCCGTTTATTGCTTACACCAAGCAGCCATTTTACTCTAGTGCCTGTGTTAAATATAGAAGTGCTAGTGTGACATACGTGAATACATTTTAACTTAACCAATACAGATTTTACAATGCATTGGCGGTCGATATGTTGTTCTTTTTGCTCGTCGCGCGAACAGAATAGTAAAACAATCAGCCTGTAAGTACATTCTTGCACAAAATAAGCGGGAAATTTAAAAAAGGAACTCACCAGTCTTTTTTAAATTGAGTGCAGGATATATACCTACCTACTTCTGGTTTTACCAAAGAGTATCACAACAGAGGGGTTTTAGATTTCTGTTTTTTTTTTCTTTCTGGTTTACTCAAATGACGCATCCTTTAAGTTCGACTTAACTATTAAGATAGAGCTCTATACTCATCATTATCAGCCTATAAGTGCCCACTGCTGAGCAAAGGCCTCTTCTCATACGGAGAAGGTTAGAGCATTGATCACCACGCTTGCTCAATGCGGGTTGGCGATTTCAAACTTATAATTAGAAATTATAAGTCCAGGTTTCCTCCCGATGTTTACCTTCACCGTATGTCAGTGGTGTCTTAATAAATCGTAGAAAGTACATATAACTCGGAAAAAGTCACTTTGGTACTTGCCAGGTTTCGAACCCACACCCTTATACATGAGAAGCGGGCTCCTTAACCTCCGGGCCACCACGACATTAACTATTTAATAATTAATCTTTAAATTGATGTTAGAAGTTTTAAGTAAGTATTCTAAGTTAGGTAATACTTTTACAATCTTGAATTTAAATGGTTTTATTCTTAATTAAATAGGCGTTAGTACCTAGATGTTATAGTCTATCTTCCAATGAACCTATGGTAGACTATTATTTACTAAGTTATTACCTACTTTGCTACGCATTGATGGGCAAAACTAACTCTTTATTGGATTTCATCAGTTAAAAAAATGCTAAGATAAGTGCTTTAGCTTTCAATATTGTACTTGCAATTTAATATCTACTTTACTGGTTTTACGAACGTCTCGTTACGTACGAAATCTCGTTAAAACCTTTCAATATTATTTATATTAGTCAGTAGATATAAGCAAGTGTCTTGTGTGTTCCACATGCTTCATAATGAAGTGCAGTAGATGGCCTGCAACTAGACTAGTTTGACCTTAGAAAACTGGTTTGGCACTAAGTATAGGTAATATAATCTTATTTTTCTTCTTGACTCAACGTTAATCAAGGTGATTATTATAGGTCATATACTACAGTCGCAATCACTGGATAAGTAACCAACTGTATTTAAGTTCGTAAGTACCTAAATGGAAAATAACCATTATAAAGCATTAAATAAAAAGGTATTACACTTTTGCCATTCTCATCCACTTCCGTAGCACATTCCTAATTCCGTGTTCGTCCATTGTTTTCCCTGCAATGTGCATAAGCTGTTTGAAAGCTGCTACATTTATTCATAATGTTCCACGGGACAACTCACAATGATCTCTGGGATTTATCCTCGACATATCTCCGTTTACGGCTGTAGATAGATAAACGTAGATATTCTTATTTACTATGTTTAATTATTAGGTAGATACCTACATATTTAGTTAACGACTCTTAGTTATACGATTAAGTACCTATGTAAATAAAATTTTGTGTATTGAAATAAGACTCTTCTTAAGTAGGTACACTTAATTGATTAGTTAATTAATATTACGAAGTATTTATGTATAGATACATACCTATTTACGTAACCATAGAGTGCCGACGCCTGTTCAGTTGCTAAATTTTCGTTGTGAGTTTGCTGAGAAATCTCTTTCATACAAGTGTTAGGAGCGTATACTTATCTAAAAAGTATTATACTTACCATGGTATTTTTTTAATGTGTCTTACACTTGCCACGTCAAACGTCGTAGTGGCCCAGAGGTTAAGACGCCTGCATCTCATGTTTGACGATGGGGTTCGAACTTCGAAACCTGGCAAGTACCCATAGGACTTTTTCGAGTTATATGTGCTACTTTCTATGATTATTTAAATACTACTGACATACGATGAATGTAGACATCGTGAGAAAACCTGGACTTAGGTACATTATTCCTAGTCAAAATCAAAGGCAAATTTATAATTTGAAATCGCCAATCCGCCTTGAGCAAGCGTGATGATTAATGCTCACACCTTATCCAAGTAAGAAAAGGCCTTTGCTCAGCAGTGGGCTCTTATAGGCTGTTGATGTGTTAGGGGATGATTTTAAAAGTAAGTAGGTAGGCAGATACTTTTAAAAACGTTTTAAGAACAATCATTTACTATCTGGTTTACAATTAACCGTTCAATCGTGGTAATTCGAGACGCAATAGAAGAACAATAGGTGCGCGAAAGCCGGCGTTCGCATGGGGTTTCAATTAATACCCAGTTAAAATGTGTTAAATGAAGCCTTGAACAGCTTACATACATTAATAAGTTTGTAACCAAGTACTTACTCAAATTTTGCAGTCAGTTAGCAGTTACTACAACTTACCTACTGCAGTACCTACCCAAGAAACTCATCCAAACTATGTCATAGTTTCCAACCAATAGGTAGATACTACCAGAATATTGATGGACTTTAGACAAAGTTAACTTATCGAACATATCTATTAGAAGATGAACCTGAACATTGTCTGTCGATAATAGATATTAGTGAAGGTGCTATAAACTGGCTTTAACAGATTTGTCATTATAATTACCTTTCGAAGTTTTAAAGAGTTGATAATAATTAATTATTTTCATTAGGCACAAGGATTATGGAAACTTACGCATACATCTTATATTCTTAGACAGACGTACAAATAAAACGCGGCCTACTTAGTGCAAATCTTACTAAGTTACGTATACCTACTAGCTTTACCCAACCGATCCGATTTGAAAGTCTTTATTCAGGATCTCTAAAGTCACCCTAATGTACATACTTGACTTACTTTCATGACTGTGTTCAATAAACTTCCTATTAAATAATTACTACAGACTTAAAAATACCGCGTTAAGAATCGAACATGCGCACCAACAACTTTCTAAGGGTGGTGAGGGTGTGATTTCGTTCAAAAGTAAATGATATCTAATAAAAATACGTACCATTTCAATTTCAAGAGACAAAAACCTTGTCTTTACCTATGGTAAACATAAAAAAGTATTATTAAAATGTAAGAACTAAGAAAAGGTGGATAATTTAAATTTACTAAAATTGGGTCACTTTCTAACTTTCTATGTCAACACACAAAGCTACAGTTGAGTATACTTAGGTATGTAGTAATAATAAACAGCCTTACCTTAAATATATTATTTTTGTATATTTAACGGCTTTTGATAAAAAGCAGCCTGCATTGCTACGCTCTCTAGTTTTGTCTCTACTTTCTTGTATCGATCGATAAGCGATGTGACACATTGTTTTGACATTTCGTTTGATAAGAAATAACCTTAAAAACTGTTGTTAAGTTTCAATAATTAAACGAATTTCTCAAATATTACTGCATTAAACACTAATTACGTTTAGTTAACTTTCGTACACTAATTACTTGTTTTTTTTTAAAAATGTGTAAATACATGCAAAGTTAACAGTTGGCACGTTATTTATTTGTTTTTATTTTTAATGAAATGTGTACACTTACCTGTGACCTTAAAATTAATAAGTTAAATTTATCAAACTGCTTTAACTATTGTTAGTCCTGATCCTGATATAACGATATACTTACTTACTTAGGTATATGCAAAAACAAATTATTTACATAGATATTTTTTCATAGTGTTGAAAACGTTAACCTAGACAGATATAGGAATATTATTGTATGTAGGTAAGTACGTATTACATAGTCCAACGTGGAGATAACAAACGCGTCACGTCTGTATCGTGTGCCGTGATTAAATCGTGACGTCACCCATACATAGGTACGTCACTGCATATCTGATACCGGTCAACACTGTCCACTCTGAATAGTGGCAGAGCTTCGGTTCATCATCGAAATTGGTTGTCAAAGGCATTAATTTAAGCAAAAGTAACCCTACATAATGTTAAGAAAATAATTAAAATTATTATGCAATCGTTTGCAATATTAGTCGGTATTCGATAGCACGCATCTAAGGCAACTGAGTAGAGTCTAAACTAGATATAAATAAAAATGTAGGTACAAATAGGTTCGTTATACCTATCTCAATGTATTTCTATCTCAAATGCTTCAACATTAATTTATCTTGTTTCTATGCAACTCGTACAAGTATAGGAAGTACCTATGTGTATGTATTTAATATCTTATGTAGACATGTTTTATCATTATGAAACGATACAGGCCTGTTTTGGCAACAAACCAATAGACAGTTTCACACGATGAATAACACCTACCTATGTCATTACGAGTTTCATTCAAAATCTGATAACATTATAATTATAATTATTTTTTCCCAGATTACTTTGTTAACTATAAAAAAATATTAAAGTTTATCTCATTTATAGAGTGAGTCGCGATCTGCCAATGCCGCTGGTGAAGACTGTGCTAGGCGAGTTGAAGGGAGTTGTGTGCCACGACACTGTGAGTTATGTGGCTTTCAAAGGCATACCTTATGCAAAGCCGCCACTTGGTGAATTAAGATTCAAGGTGAGTAGTTACCAACGTACTTATATATGTATGTATGTATTTTTTTCTCACTTCAAACGAAAGCATTCCTAAGCATGCAACATTAGTATTCACTTGGAGACTATGGACATTTTATGATGGTATTCGCGTAGTAGATGTAGGTTTATAATGAAATTTTTATTTCGACTCGACGAGTACATTAAATAGCAAATCATATTACCATATCAAGCAGCTGCTATCTAAAATAGATTGTATGTATAGTACGGTATGTAACACGAATATAAAGCATGTACGGTCACATATTTTGGGTTTAGGGGTTTATGTACTTTCATCTATGCATATACATATAAAAATGAATTCCAATTTTCCTCGGTCATTCATCAGTTTATCACGCATACCGGCTAATCCGATTCCGATGATTATTTTTTTGTTTATGTTATGTACCTATGTTGTGTTAAAAGTTTACAAAAGTAGTGGGATTATCTTGAAAAATTATAACTGACAAGGTAGTTGAATGATGTCTAAAGCAGCTCCTCCGAGAAAAAAATATGTTTGATTCCTGTGTATAGGCATTTCTTTAACTTTTATGCAAACCAAATTCTGTTACTTGCAGGCTCCGGAACCTCCTGAACCCTGGCAAGGTGTTCGGGACGCATCGCAACATGGCCCCGTCTGCCCGCAGTTCAACGAGCGTATGAACCGAGTGGAAGCAGGAAGTGAAGACTGTCTCTACTTAAATGTGTACACCAAAACACTGACACCACCCAGTCCTCTTCCTGTAATGGTCTGGATCCACGGTGGCGGGTTTTATACCGGCTCAGGCGACTCCGACTTCTACGGACCTGAATTTTTCATGGAGCATGACGTTATACTAGTAACAATTAATTATAGATTAGAAGTCTTGGGTTTTCTGTGTTTAGACACTGAAGAAGTTCCCGGTAATGCTGGCATGAAAGACCAAGTCTTAGCTTTAAAGTGGGTGAAACAGAATATCGCAGCTTTCGGGGGAGATCCTAACAATGTGACCATCTTCGGATGTAGTGCAGGATCTGCTTCTGTCTCCTGTCATTTGGTGTCCAGAATGAGTGAAGGACTATTTAACAAAGCAATATGCCAAAGTGGAGTCTGCCTCAATGAGTGGAGCTATAATTTATATGCTCGTCAAAGAGCTTTTCAACTAGGAAAACTTTTAGGGAAAGACACTGACGATCCAAAAGAACTTTTAGACTTTTTGAGAACTGTACCAGCGACGTCTTTAATAAATATACAGTTACCATTTCTAGAATGTAAGTATAATGACATATTAGACAGCATTCTGTTTGGACCGGTTGTTGAAAAAGTCGGTTCAGACGATAGCAAATTTTTGACAGATTTGCCAATAGAATTGGTGAAAAACGGGCAATTTGCCAAAGTGCCTCTTATACTAGGATTTACTTCAGGCGATGGTATAGAAATTGCGAGAAAACTTCCTCACCTAGCTGGGTTCTTAACAACACCAGGTGCTGTTGTTCCAAGAGAATTAAAATTAAAATGGGAACCAGAAAAAGTGCAGAAAGCAGACGAAAGAATAAGAAAACATTACTTCAACGATAAACCAATATCGGTTGAACAAATTCAAGAATACTCAGATTTAGAAACAGATCGTGTGTTTTTATACAACATCGTTAGGTATGCGCGGTACCATCTGCAGTACGCTTCAGAACCAGTTTATTTCTACGAGTTTGTTGCTGAATCTGAAAGAAACATAACGAAAAAATCATATAATATGGAATCTTTGAAAGGCGTTTGTCATTCTGATGAATTACCCTATCTGTTTAACGTGACCTGTTTAGATATACCATTATCGGATGAATCAATGGACATAATAAAACAATTTGTAACACTCTGGACGAACTTCGCTACTACTGGGTAAGCTGAACTTAAGATACTTGTAACATATGTATGTAGTAGATGCGCCACTTAAGTTTAAGACGGCTATATCTTTACAATTCATGTCTACCGCGGGCATGAATTGTACAAACTTTGTTGCAGTACGGTTACTAACAAAGTTGCGAAATAATTTGCAACGCTAGACTGTTCATTAACCGCTAAACATAAACAGACTGTAAAACATTGACATGAGACTGTAAAACATTGACATGAGACTGCTACACTACGAGACTCGGAGCAAGTTCGCAAGCAAGAGTTTGTTGAAAGAAAATTTCCTGCTGTTCAATCATTAAATCATTTTTTCACATATCGTAGTTTACTTTTGTAAATACGATACATACTTAAACTGAGTAAACCTCATTATCATGTCATAGTTATATTCATTGTTTTTATTCATTCCAGGAAACCTACGCTAAGCACAGAAGAATGGAAACCATTCAAAGAACAAGATAGAAATTATTACATTATTGGAAAATCACTTCAGTGTAAAAAAGACCCACGCAAAGATAATATTACTTTCTGGGAAGATATTTACGAGGAAACGCAATTAAATGTGATTAACAAATAATTCCTGTTTTGAAATTCGATGTTTGATCATAATGTTACCAATGCTTTAACGTTTTTAACTAGTGGACGCTGAGATCTGTTATGTACAGTATTTAAAAGGATTTAGGAAAATAAAGAGCAGTATTAAAGATTTAACTTATATTAATTTTTGCATCATTCACATTTTCTTATACAAATATCCTGTCCACTTTGGTGCTAAATAACCAAATAAAGTCCTCAAAGAATACAAACCTATTGGAAAATTTGATTTTGAATAAAAAGTTAGAAACTCATTCAGATATTTACTGTAACCTCAGAAACAGTACACACATTATTATTATTTTTTAAATGACATTGACGGAAAGTATGTAAATTTTTAACTAAAATAAGTATTGTACTTGTTATCAAAACTATTCAGGAATCAAAATGCATGCATGCCTTGATGTAACTAAAATTACTATAAATAACAACAAGAAGTTGATATTGAAAAATTATTTGAATTCATTTAGACAGGGATTTTACTCTGAAGGCATTTTGTGTAATGGATAATACATTACACATACATTTTAAGTTGTCTCTCATCAAGACAGTTTATAATAATGTATGAGTTGGATATCTCAACACACTAAGAGTGCCGAAAAGTCTAGTCTTGTGAGTCTAATGTCACACTTGGAATAAATTTCAGTCCACATTGCAAAGGGTAAAATGGTGTGATCTCACATAGTTCGCAACTCGGGGACAGAACGAGGTACGAGTTAGACCACAGGTTTTTGTTTCGTTGGTCAGTAGCGGCCGGAACGGGAGTTGCGCGGCGGGTCGCGGCGGCGGTTCTCACCGCGGGAACGTGAGCGACGGCGACGGTCGCGCGACCTGCTGCGGGAGCGACGTGAGCCCTTGCGGCGGGAATACAGATATCTGAAACGTTACACAAGTTTCTTAGTAGACCATTTCATACATCTAAAACATCGAGTGATGATGTGTCACAGAGCCATACTTCAGCGTGGGCCATCTCTACCGCGGTAATTTCACAGCCTCACAGAAAATCGGAGTAAAACAGCGCTTGTATTGGGGTTACCGGAGACAATCTTTTCCTCAGTTCCCCAATCGTCAAATCCCTAACACCTTACAAAAGGCGCTAATGCACTTATCTTCTGGCGTAGCGAGATTGCTTATGCCCATTGCTTATGCTTTCTAAGCATAAGCAATAGGCGCCGCTTACCCACCCACAGCCACAAGTGACACTAACATTTGTTTACTAACATATACAAAAAAAATATTCCCTTGTAGACTCAGGACCTGAACTGAAGTTTAATAACATAGAAAAAATTACTAGAAATATTTATTATTATACCTGTAACTATCATTCAAAAAGTATACCTTTCTCTTATTATTTTACAACAGAATAGGATTCCTCACCTTCTTAGTTCTCTAGAAATAGGCTTCAAGTGCATAAAGTTGCAAAATCCACTGCGAGTGCACTCGCCCATCTCATACTGACGACAGCATGCCTCACGGAAATCCGTTACAGGAGACAGCTCAGCGTACACCGGCCGACCACCAAACCAACGGTTGTTCAGGTCATTCACAGCCTTCTCAGCATCCTCTTCACGACGGAACTGCCCATAATTATAATATTTATAAAAATAAAAGCCAAAAGGATAATACTTTGGTAACTAACATAATACAAACTGATTACATATGAGTACATTGCTTGATGAACTTATAGTAATAAACTTTTTATTCTATAAAAAACAATAATTTGGTTTAAAGGTTTTGTCACCTTTGGTATAGGTCACCTTTGGTGACCTATACTAGTTTATTAGAATTGCGAGTATAGCACCAGCAACAACGAAGAACTTGTTTAGTAGTTAATGATCTTCTTTTTTACTTTACACCAATTTTATTGTTTTGTATGAATATCAAACTTAGCAAGATGCAAGGCAGTAATATAAACATGGGAAACAAAAAAATCATCAGATTACTAACTAACAAGTCTCCAATTTTTCTATGATTGTACTAACCTGCTAATATTATAAATGTGAAAGTTTATGAGAATGTATGGTTGTATGTTTGATATTCTTTCACGCAAACGGCTGGACTGATTTGGGTTTAATTTGGGTATGTAAATTTGGTTGTTGGGGAGTGAAGTATGAAATAGAAATGTTCCTATCCTCACCTTTATATAAACATTTCCAACTAAGTGATCCCCTAAGTTGTCACAGACATTCATTTCTTCAATTTCCCCATATTTGTCTTCACACTCAACAAATACATCTTCAAAGAAGTTATCGTAGTGCTCCTGCATCTCTTCATCGGACACATTGGCTACAACCACTGTAAGAAACATTAAATTGTTAATAAGACAAGACATCAAGCAGAATATAGCTGATCTTAAAGAAAGAAAAAAAGCACCAATATCAAAAGTCTGGTTGTTGATAATTCAGTCAACCAATCAGATGACTTGACAAGAGATTTAACAGGAGATTAGTTAATTTTAGTGTTGACAAGCCTTTCAGAAACCGGGTGTAATAATACCTTATTGAAAACACTATTTAACACAATGTTTTCTGATTCAACGATTGAACTTCATACTGGCATCACATTTATTTGCCAATAACCAAAATTCCATGTAAATATACTTACAATGACTGCCATCAGCTGACTTAGCCGAGTTCTGAGGATTTACATAAAGATTCTGTAACAGCACAGTCTGTGAGAAAGTTGGTTTGTTGTGTATACGAGAGCAACGGTCACCGTGTCTGCATGCTCCAATCTTGAAATAGAAGGAACAGTTTACTCTGAAAAATAACAGAAAAACATTTACCATAATGTTCATAATTAAAAAGAAAGAACGTATTAATTCATCGATGTGTTAAGATTAAGTGTGAAACATAATATTAGCTGTTAACGTAGCAGCAGTGTTACACAGTTACACTACAAGATCGATCAACAAATTAGAGGTTATATTGGTTTTACTTGGATAACTGTCGTAAAAATCATACTCTTATAGCAAACCAAAAGTAAAAAAATGTTCTAGGGTATAAGGGCATTATATATTAAGTAAAATAATACTTACTTATCCTTTTCTGTTCCAAATATAGCAGCTAAATACTCAGCCATTGTAAAACACCGACCGACAAGGCCGCTTGATGATCTTCAGTGTAAACTATACGGCTATCTTTAGTTACGATTCTTAAGTTAATATTAACTACACTTTAATGAAAGACGCTTAAAGTAGCCAATCAAACAATAATTAAAAACACACTACACCACAAAATTATTGTACGTTTCCACTTTTAGAGTGACATGACAACCAATGAATGAATGATGTGGTGAATGACCAAGCTTCCAAGCCAAGAATGAACAAAAACAAACCAACAGATTAATGAAAGAGACTGAATCACTCAAGTCTATGACTCTATGCCCCGACTTTCGACTCTCGACTATTGAATAATTTTACATTTTTATTTTGCTGGTTATAGAAATAGGGTCTAGTTGTATCAAAATTTTGAAAAATACTATAGTCTAAATAAACTTTACTAGTTGTGTATAATTTGAGTCATTTTGAGAAAAGCTTACTCATTCAAAACAAAAACCACTAATCACCCATAAGGCCGAACCTGACAATGTTTTATATTTACAGCTTAAACTTTAAAGTAATGTAAAAGAAGCACCAGCATTGTCTGCAATAAAATTATTCGCTGCAGGAATTTCTAACAATTGTGGGGAAGCTAACATAATGAAATTGTTCAATCACTTATCTATGAAGTCTGTGGTCGACCTATACAAAATGCGAAATTGACATTTTGTTGTCATTTGAAAAATAACTTTTATGCCGGTTGCTTGTCAGTGCGGTAATTTTAAAATAAGTTATCAAGTTGTGAAATAATAAATAATGACCTACAATTCTACACTGGATAATTTTTGCGGCTCTACTTTCTGGGTTGGTAAACTTAGCTAAAATGTCCGGATTGAATTTGTTAAATGGTTTCAGTCAGAACTTTCTAAATTCAAGATAACAGGGTTCGTCGTGTCATGACTTAAAAATAGTTGTAACTCTATTGCAGGTTCTTAAACAATGTGAAATAAATCATACACTGAGACTGGTTGTGGCAGATAAATTAATATTTATTTAAAAATAGTTAATGCAATGATTGAAATATTGCGCAATTTTTTAGTAGCCTTACTTCAAAAGTAAACAACTTCAATTTTTAACTTAAAACTTTGCAGACGTCTTAAAACCTTTTTTGAAAATTACTTTTTTATGATGAAAGTCTCACTAACTTATATTTTTAATCTTATCACAGTACACATTATTATGCAATCTGAATTGCAAAACAGGTATATTATAAGAGGTGTAATATAACATAAAAATGTATTAACCAAACTATTTATTTTAGGACAGCAACCTGACATGGTATACAGACAATCCAGAGTTTACTCCGTGTTTCGAAAAGACAGTTTTAGTATGGATACCATGTGCTTACATGTGGTTGGCAGCCCTGGTCGACATTTACCATATAGTTAGCAGCAAGGAGGGTAACATACCATGGAATAAATTAAACATAAGCAAGCTGGTCATAGCATTATCTCTAGTTGTATTACAAATTCTGAATCTGATACTAATAACATATGCATCATTTAAAGAAGAAAATAAAATATATGATGCTGATTTTTATGACCCAGTTGTTAAGTTATTGACTTTGGTGAGTATTCTTCTTTTTATTTCTCTTTTAGTATTTTATGCTCTTAAACCATCAAAAAATTTTGTTTCTACAAACTTTTTTCTATTAGGACAAAATTTAAACTGAATAATAACATAATATATATATGGGTAGTATTTCTATGGATGCAAGTCTAAGCTGTTGTTACACATAAGTCAACATGGTTAATATTCAAGTGAAAAACAATAAACCTTTTTACTTATACATATTTAAGAGAATTGAAAAATATTAATTTACAAGTGAAAGTAATCATTCATTTTTGTAACTGACTGTACCATACTGGCCACAAGTTACTGTTTATTTATAATGTATGTGTGTAGATGTCTAACAGGAAAACTTGTTACTTGTCTTATTATCATACAAAATAAATAAATTTACTTCTGCAATTATTATATTACTGCTCAGAGACAACACTGATAAAAATAATACCTACATATCATATAATTTTTTTTCTAAAACCTATAGTATTTGAACCTACATTCTAAGTACTTAGTAAACAATAAAACCACAAGTTGAATGCCTTAGAACAGAACAATATTAAGAGGTACCTTACCTTCCTAGAGTTTATTCGTATGTAATTGGTAGGTATCTTACATTGAGGAGGTACTATTGGTGGTTAGTTCTAAATGAATGGGTATTTGTAACACTTTGATAGTGCATGTCATGCTCCAGCCTTACTTACCTTTCTATTAGAATAATTTTCTTGTAAAACAAGAAAATTGTTAAACAATCGGCGCCACCCATGGACACCCGCAACACCAAAGGAGTTACGAGTGTGTAGCCCGCCTTTTAGGGATAAGGTTGTGCAATATTTAAGGATTGGGAAGGGATAGGGGTAGGGGGAGGGTTGAGCCTCCAATAACCTCACTCACACGGCGAAACACTATGCTGTGGTTGTTTAACGATTCGCTGTGAACAATTTTCTTGCAAAACAAAAAATAATATTATGGTAGATAGCTCCTGTGTTTTTACTTTTTGAAGAAAAAAATACGTGTTTTCGTTTGTACCGAAGGTCCGAAATATGTACTGATACAATATAATATTGATAACTGATATCTTATTTATGTTCATTATCAGAATGTACCTAAGTATGAATCAGATTTATTTTATACTACCTTGTTAGGCACATCCTTGAGAAAATACTGCTTATCTAAACACTTTCCTACAGTTTTTATTGAATTATATAATTTAAAAGAACTACATACATATAGCAGGTAAATCTAATCATAAAAATTAATACCTAAATTTGTTTTTTCTCAAGTTCTCATTTTTACCTTATTGCATTAGGTAGTGTGTATTCTAATTCTAATAAATCTCAAAGCCAGAACAACTGCCAAAAAGATTTATGCCATTTTTTTTGTGAGCGGAAAAACATCAAATTACTTTTCCCGCCCAGGGTCGGGCGGGAGGGAGTGTGAGACTCTTACTGAGTAATAACCCTCCAGTTCCTTCTCCTGCTCTGGGCTGAGGTCGCGGTCGCGGGTCCTACAAGGCCCCGTCTGTGGTGGTCTATCCGCTCTGAGGCGCGCGCGTAAAGATACGCGCCGTACTCTCGGATCTGGTTCTGGTCGGGCGGCGAGCTACCCTTACTCGCTCGTAAGCAATGTACGATAGACCGCAAAACACGCCTCATGTCCTTCAGCAAAGCTTTAGTTTCGTATGATAATAAATAGCGTAGGTATCGTCTGGTAAAAGTACCTATAACGAACTTATTGTGTCGATAAATCCTGAAACCAAAGGATTAATATTAGAGTTTACGTCATAATATAGAGTATAGATATGTAGATATTACAAGTTGCCTAGCAATCTATAGATAATGAGACAGCGACGTGACGCTGGCACCGCCGATTCATAATCATTGGCGATACTGACATACAGCTGTAGTTCAACCAAAATATACTAATTAGGTTACTGGGTCTTTTTATAGCAGGCTACTTATTTACTCATATTACTTTTCATTTCATACGTAAAATGTATAGAATGGAACGTCTTCCTTTAAGTATTCGAGAAAAATAAGTTTCTTGACCTTCTTTCAAACAGTTGGCCTAAGCCAGAATTAAAAAAAAATACGGAATATCTACTGTCCAACAAAATACATCATGTGTATTATTAGACAATATTTAGTCCGCAAAAGTACAGTCGGCAACAAAAATTTGTAGGAATGTTTATAATTTCTGAAGTCATGCATTAGTTATTATTGGTAGATGCTATGCTAAATATCTAAAAGTATTGAAAGAAACGTATACTTAACTACATAAAGTGTTGCTAATTTCTTCCCTGCATTAAAAAAGAAATGCTGAGGTTGGAGTTAGTGTATTTTCGGACAACCAATTTATTAAGTAAGAAAACAAAGTTTTCCTAGACAAAGGAGTAGCAAAAAATCCAACCAACAATTTTACTAATAAACCAATTAAAATACCTTACAAATTATGTAAGCCAATAAATCGTACAATTTTTGTTTAACACTGGTCTCATTTGCAGATGCTGTGTATAACGTTGATATGCTACAATCGAAAATATGGTGTAATGACGTCAGGAGTGTTGTTTATATTCTGGTTACTCCTGATCCTGGCTGGCCTACCACGACTCAGAACTGAGATAGTAAACTACGACCCAAACAACAGCGGGTATGCACGATATACATTTGCTAGCTATATCGTGTACTATACGCTTATATTAATTATGTTTATATTGAGCTGTTTCGCCGATTTACCGCCCAGAGATACTCCTTACACATACGACAAGGTAATGTATCTATATTTTCTTCAGAGGTCTCATACAAGTGACTAATTGTTCTATAAAGATGGTAACTTCCACCTGTATACAGAAATTTATAATATCATATTTGCATTATATGGTCTAAGGTTACTTAAACTACATAACCCTTACAGGTCCAATCTCCCGAAAAAAGATCTGCCGTACCTAGTGAACTCACTTTTAGCTGGTTCGATCCACTCGTCTTAACAGGATTTCGAAGAACTCTCAAAGAAGAAGACCTATGGCCGTTAAACCCTGAACTGACTTCCAAAGAAGTCGTCCCTAGATTTGAAAAGCAGTGGCAGAAAGCTTCACAGAAACGAGCAAAGTAAGTATTTTGAATACATTTTTTAACTTTAATAAGCCTTGTCCTTGAAAAATAGGAGCAGGCTCTTAGTTCCATTTCAGATTCGAAGTAATCATAATACAATCAATATGGTATAGTAAAATAGAATAAAATAATCCATTAATAGTGACAAGTGGGAATCAACAGCTTTTTTGTGCTATGTTAATTATGACCGATATAATATAAAAAGCGGCGGTTTTGTGTTCGACTGTACGTATATGTATACCTGCCTACCTGTTTATCTAAATCTCTATTTTTTTTCAAGCTTTATCATTTACCTTAACGTAAAACAAGCATGACAATGTAAAATATCATATAAACATGTGAATTCATGTTTTCGGAAATACCTGTTGTAACTACCTGAGATTTATTTTTATGAGTAAACAAATAGTAAAGGCTTCTCAAGGGAAATTACCTGATTTGTGTTGTGTT